GACAAGCCGGGGAGAAAAAGAGAGACATACAAAGTTTAAACAGAAATTAAATGAGCGCATCACCAACAGCGATGAAAGAAAAAAAAAAAACAGTTAAATAATAAATAAAAGGAAACCAAGCCAGCCATGGAAATAATCCAGAGAAGCCGGTGATAGCAATGAAGCCAACAGGACACACGGAAGCAGCTAGTTCCAGGCAAGCCACGAGCTGGAGCACAGGGCCAAGGCAGGAGGGTGGGCTGTGGGCACAGGACTTTGGCTCCAGGACATTCAGAACAACTCAAGGACAAAGGCACAGGCGTCTTCATCAGAGTGGGAAGCCAGCACCACCAACTCCTGTTTGAGGAGACGAGTCAGTCCCATCCTTGGACCTTGCCTTTGAGATCCATCAGAGAGCCATTGTGAAAATAGGGACTCAACTACCTCGAGCTTCCTTCAGCTAAACAGCAGAGACTTTCTGAGAACTCCAGCAATCCTTTAAAATAAAATCCCATTTCCATCCCTTAGGTGCCTTAATTTCACCCATATTCTGTGTACAGAAGTGAAACCATAAACAGCTCCCCTTTCTCCATTCTCTTGTGATGGGAGAGCTCACAAACGCTATTAGAAAGTAGGCATTGCACTGTTTAACAAGCTGAACCCCCAAACTCACTCTCACTTCTGCATCATCATCCTCTTTCCCTCTCTTGTTTAAACTTCTCTGAGCAACAGCCCCCACCCCATCTTCCATCTACTGGGTACATACATTCTCCCAGAAGGCCACCCATGAGTTTATGCCAGTGTTCTGTCCACATTATCTTCAAAGACTCTCTGTTAAAACCAATAAGTAGCCAAGGATGATGGAACCCCGTTGCCCAATTCAATATTAGCTAACCAGAACTCTTGCCTTTGTGCAAAACGACCATCTTTCACAATTGCTAGTGAAGTTAAGGGTAACAGCTGAAGACCTCCCTTAGGCACCAGTTATTTTAAGCTTCTGACCTCCTTCAATGGTGCTTCATAATAGAGAACATAACTGAAATGTATTTGACTATCATATTGCCAAAGTATTAGTTAAAAAAAAAACTAGACAAAATCTCTGACATTGTAGGGAAAATATTTACTGGACTCCATAATCTGTGTAGATTCAAATGTTACAATAAAGTAGGCTCCCTTGCCAATATGGAGTTAGTGAACACATTTTATTTTGTATATACTAATAAAGTTGGCATTATTTTCTGGAAAGTATTTTTCCTTTCTTAAAAAATATGGACAGAGTGGTATCATGAAGGCCTACTATTTAGCTGTCTCCCATGGAGACTCCTTCCGATTATCCATGTAACCACCTCTAAATGATTCAATATTTGTCCTAATCTTGTAACAAAACATCCTTAAAACACATTCTGTATTACCTCTGTAGTCGTGAGATTTTAAATAGCTGTTAGCTTGTTAGTAATTTCGTAGAAATGTAGCAGAAATCGAAGTATAATGGAGTTCACGTGGGCATCATGGCTTCAATATGTGTTCATATCTCAGTGATGATGACAGGTACCAGGCATCCGGAGAGGAAAAGCCTAAGGCCTCTCCAAAGAGCAGAGCAGGAAGAAGCCCACAGATGACGGATGTACTATATTGACAGATGATGTGATGGGAACATCACCAAGAGGTACAGCCAACTGCTAGAATTAGCTAGAGGATGGTACTTGGTGGAAGTGAAGCACAAGTTGGATTTCGCACTGTGAGCAGGACTGGCAGATGAGAAGAGGAAGAGGCCATTGTGAGAAGAAAACCCAGGGGCAAAATAATGATGACTATGAAGAAAGGCGATAGCTCCCGGGGACAAAGGAGAACAGGATGAAGATGGCAAAGACCAAAAACCATTCTGAAGATAAGGAACATGGGCTTTCCACTTTTTGGAAGACTATTCTAATTGGTGGAGAGGAACAACCGTCTTTCTGAAGAAGGAAAAGCAGAGTGAGCCAGAAACTGAATCAGTAGCGAGAGCATATTAGTAGTTCCCTGGTATAAGAAGAGAAGATGTGCAGTAAAGATTTGAGTGACGGGCTGAAGGTGGGTTTCGAGGAAAGTGCTAGCTAACCGGCTGAGTGTAGAAGAGTGGAGGTGAGTGAGCCGGCTTCAGGGACCAGAGGCATCATGAGTGAGCACAGGGGTGAAGAACAGATGCACGTGGATTAGGAGCAGGAGGAAATGCACAGGCAGTAGAGTTAAGAGTCTGGTTCTTCCTATGTAATCTAAGGTGGCCACAAAACCTCTTCAGGAAAAGACTGGCAATTACAGTGTTTGAGGAATAGTCTTCAGTTTGGGAAAAGAGTCAAGGCTGAAGTCACAGATCTAAGATTCAACGTCCTAAAGAAAGAGCAGATGTGTGAGACACACCAGCATTCAAGGGAAGAAGAAGCAGTTCTTCAGGGAACAACAGTATTAAAATAGCAAGTGTTCCCAGGTAAAATGAATGAAAAGAGCCCAGTTCCTTAGATGAACCAAGTACCTAGCATCCCTTCATTGGGAGCTCACACACCCATGCATATATGCACACATTTGCACATATACACATATGCATACACATGCACACACACACACTGGCCTTTGAGATAAAAAAAATTATGACACTGTAAACCAGTTGTCTGCCTCTTCTAGTAAGAAAAATATATACAAGCAAATTAAACAGTTTCAGGAAAGAAAGAGAAAGAAAGAAGGAAAGAAAGAAAGAAAGAGAGAGAGAGAGAAAAGGAGGAGGGAGAAAGGAAGGAAAAAGAAGAAAGCAAGGAAAGAAAGAGAAACAACATAGGTAGGAAAAAGGGGAGGCAGAGAAATAAAGAAGTAACATGTTTTTAAATATCTCTTCTGTCATATAATGGTGGACAAGACAGAGAGAAGTTCAAAGGCACAGAAGATTAAAGAAAAAGTCCTAACATCAAGGTTGACTTGAAACTTAAAACTCTACTTGGAAATACAGAGGAAGAAGTTAGATCTTTAAAAAAAAAGAGAGAGAAAGAAGTGTTTTATAATGAAGTAGAAATTAACTATAGAGATGAAAAAGGATTAAGGAGAGCGAAAGCCAGGCTTAGTGAAAGGTATGACGTGATAACCAGGTTTATTCTTTTTTCTTTGAAAATTTATTATCAGTATTGAGTTCCTTAAAATACAGTGTTGAATATTAGTTTTATATATAGTAATAAAATAGCTCTTATTTTCCAAATTTTAGTTATTTTTTTAAATGAATAGCATGCTCTGACTCCCATTGCATACAGTCTCCTGTGGGACATGGGGCTGTTACTATGGGAACACTACCCCAAGTAGGAAGTGTCAGCATCTTTTTAGATGAGGCTGCTCTTGGCCACCTGTACAATTAACTGCAAGAAGTGTCATATGTCACACATGCCATGAGGACAAAACAAAACACTCATGTGTATTTATTTTGCACATAAACAAAGCCAAATGAACTCTGAACAACAGGATTACCTAGAGAAGTCAAATTCTTTCTTGACAGAAGCGTAAAAGTTGTTTGAAACTGAACACTTGAAAACAGTTTTACGCCTAAGAAGGTCATGAGACCGTACCCTTCACTTCAGTGATAGCAAACTCATTGAGCTTTATTCTATCTTTTCCATAGATGATCTATAAGTGGCCTAGGCACCTCGGCCACTGCACAAATCCAGAGGTAGCTTTCCATTCCTTAGTTCTGAGGTTTCTACCACACCGGGTGTAATGGTTTGACTACCATTTCTAGAAGACATATGGAGAGCCATGTACAACCGTTGACATCTTGTCTTTCTTTAACATATAAACTCAACAATTATGTCTTCAACCTAGAAAAAGGAAAAGGCAGCAAGGACGGAAAGCATCAGCAATGCGCCAAGAGTTTTGCCAGCTGCAAAATGTAAATAAAGCAAGAACTATCAACTCAGAGTAAAAGGAGTAACGGAAGCTGTAGGAAACAACCAGGACAATGTTCCAGGAAGTCCGGACTCCAAAAACAGAGGAAGCGGACTTCTCACGCCAGCCTCCAACTTAGAAGCGGATGCCAGAAGCTGCAGTGCCTAGATAGCGCTGTCTGCTGCTCTTCCTGAGCATATGCTGCCACGGAGAGAGGTGACAGGAGCTGCGGCACCTGCGTCATCAGATATTCTGGGAACTTGTGCAGATTCTCACCTTGACTTCATGATCACATGGCCAAGCATGCCCCTGCCTTGCAGGCACCGCCAGGAAGCTAGCCATTCAGTATGACAGGTAACCATGCAATACAGAGAGCAGACAGGAGGTGCACCTTTGAGGTCCCTCACTGTGACAGAGAATGACCCAAGACTAAGCCCTTAAGTGACCTTAGGCATGATGACATGATATCTAGAAGGTACTCAAAAAGATGACCCAAATCCTCTCTTTTCTCTCCAGCTATCTCTCCAATCCCAAACAGACAATTAAAGAACACTAGAAAAAAAACATATGTTCTATGTTACCTATTCTTCATTATCTTACCTTGTATCAGCTTACCAAAACACCTAAAAAAATAAAAAGTATAGGAAGGAAGGGCTACTGGGTGTTTAAAGTAAACACTGAGTCAAATTAAGTATGGACAGTAGATGCCGTTTTGGAAGGCAAAACTGAGTCGAGGTCATGGGACCCCAAATAGAAAGGTAGGGAAAGGGATCACTCGTTGACAGACAGAAAGGAATGCAACACAACATAGGGTAAGTGACAGACCTCCCTAAACCAAACTAAAAATTAAAACCAGTTCATCTGAACACAGTATATTCCTGAGTGGTCAGTGGAGGAGAATCATCTATCTTACATACAGCAAAATTTACCCAAAAGAAGGTTAAATAACTAGCCAATAAAAAGTAAAATTGATTGCCCATGTTCCCCTGAGAGCAGTCTAGGGCCTCTGGTGCTTTCTTGACTTCTCTCCCCTTTCCAACACAGTGAGGTCCCCAGACCATGCACATGCTCTGCCACCTGCTTTCCCGTGTCTCTGTCACCCAGGAAGGCAAGCCACGACTCACTCATTGAGCAAAGGCATGGAGGTTCTCCGCTTGCTCTTCTGTACCATGTTGGCCTGATTCCTCAAGGAGATCCGAATCATGGCGGGTGCCAACCTACACGGCTCCCCATCTACTTGCATGGGGATGGACTTGTAAGTCAGAAGCATCACTTCCCGACACTGGTGCAGCCTTTCTCCATGGCCCCCAACTTGCAGGGCAGCCTATCCAAACAAGGCAAAGAAGAGCTGAGAGTCAGTGGCTAGTATTTTAGAGAAGTCACACCTAAAGCCATTGTAGATAACCAAAAGTCTCCGTTAGCATCATTAGCCATCAGTATGGCAAGAACTTGAAGAAACCATAGCTACAAATGAATCACATCTGCCAAGCTTCTGAGGAACTGTAGCATAAACTCCCACAGATAAGCACTTTGCATTTTACCCAGTATAAATCTAGATGTAGCTGTGCCCATAAAAGGATGAATACATTTTCATGCATCTTCCATGTTTGGGTTGCATGTTATACGACACATATAAAAGTCAGAGGACAACCTGCAGGAATGGATTCTCCTCCCACCCTGCAGGTTCCAGGTGTTGAATTGTCAAGCTTGGTGGCATGTCATGTGCCTTTATCTGCTGAGCCATCTTGACAACCCTCATGTCAAATTAAGTGACACCAAGCATTTCTTTGTGTTATCTATTTCCATTAAGTAACTAATGCCAGAATAATAAAAAAAATAAATAAAAGCGACAAAGTGTACCTTTACCAATTTCTACACTGAATTACTAATGTTTCGGTGTACAGTATATCCTTAGTAAGTTTTAAAACTTAGACAAGATTTTTCTCAAACATCTTAAAACGATTTCAAATATGCTTTAGTAAATACAGGGATAAAAATAAAAATGAGTTACTCAATTTAAGACTTTAAAGTCTAAAATCTAACCCAGTATACATAGGAAATTAACTCTGTAACAAATTTTGAAAAAGAAACGCTCAAATATAATTAGAATGATGTGAAAGATTATAAAGAACCAATGGATATTTCACTATCCTTATTATAGACAGAGTCAAAATATTTTTTTAAAACATGTGACGAAAATACTGGTGTTCGTACATCTACAGAGATGGTAAATAAAAAGATGCTGGGAAAAACATGTTCATCATTCTCAGGACGTGACTATGGATGTACCACTATAGCCTACTGAGTAAAGGAGGGACAATGAGGACATGACCTATGGACGAAATAACATAGCCTATTGAGCAAATGATGAATAATTTAGCCAAAGGTGTTGGGAATAGTTCTCAGGACATATAGAAAAATATAATCAATATAATATGCCATATCATAGACAAATAAGAAATAAAAAAAGAAACATAAAAATTCCACAGGGCAGGAAACCATGACTGCTCTTCGGATTGGAGAGGGAGGGGGAGAGGAGTGGGGGAGGGGGAGAAGAGTGGGGGGAGGGGGAGAAGAGTGGGGTAAGGGGGAGGGAAATGGGAGGCTGGGAGGAGGCGGAAACTTTTTTCTTATTCTCAATAAAAAAAAAAAGAAAAACATTCCCAATCTGAAAAAGAAAGTGAAGTATTTATTCCCTCTTCCAAGGCTTGGAGTGTTGTTGTTGCTGATGTTGACATGGCTATCGTTTCTTTTTATCGGAAGATGCTGCTGTGCAGCTAGTTCTGAACCTGGAGCCTCACCCCTCCTGTTTCAGCCTGTGTAGTGCTGGTACTTCAGACCTGGACCACCACACTCAGGCCCACTGTTTGGATCTTGAATGCCCTCTGAAATGAGATGTGTTAAATGTGTGTTTTCCAGCCCATGCCATTATCCTCCGATAACAATAATAGCAGAATCTTTAAGGAGTGGAGCTTTGTGGGAGTAAGTTAGACCACTGATGTAATGCCTTTGAGGGGGATATCAAGACCTACCCCCTTTTAGTTTGCCCTTCCTATGACGTGCCCCCACCATTATGTGCTGTCTTGGTATAAGCCCAAATGCAATGCCCAAGTGACCACCGACTAAACTGTGAGCCAAAATAAACCTTTCTTTGAAGGCCAACTATCCAAGACATTTTTCCACAATAACTGAGCCCCTCTCTCTTTTTCAAGTATCCTCTCCAGCAGTGGCTATTCCTCCTCTGTGCTTCCATTCCCAAGACACCTCTCACTCTTTGACTCACACAAACAGCCGCAGCAACAGGCCCATTTCTCATAAAATAAGTAACTCCCTTTCAAAATACTGCTTCCTACTTTACAACTCTCAGGATAAAGACAATCAACAGGCTTCTCAGATGGCCTTGTCTCCAGAGTTCTAACGATTATCTTATGTCTTATGCCCTTGGCTCCTTAGGACTAAAGCCACCCCATTTACCCCACTCTCTTTCTAGCATTTGAAGAGACAGAGACTCGGTGCAGCTGGTGACTTATGAGCAGGTAATCTACAGGCTGTCCTCTTATGGGTTCTTCCAGCATCCTCTAATCAACCTTCTGTGCTTCGATAGCCTCAGGGAAACTAACAATATAAGTTTCTCCCTCTCCAACCACACTACGTGAGTCAAGAAGGAAGAAATTCTACCTAGACAACTAGTAGTGACATCATGATCACTTAGTTCACAATTGTGTTTTAGTAAATAAAGACTGCCTGAAGACCTGAGAGTAAAACAGTTCCACTGGTCAGCCTTACAAGCCAGATTATGAGAATACACACCTTTAATCGCAGTTGCCATAGTGACATGCACCTTTAATTCCAGTAGCCACACTAGTTGCCATAGGAACTGGGCGGTGCAATCCTTTAATGAAAGCAGTACAAGCCTTTAATCCCATCCCTAGAGAGGATTATAAAATGGGAGGAAATAGTTCTCAACAGACAGTCTCATTCTGAGATTCCTGGAGGCAGAATTACCATTTTCGGACTGAGGTCAAGGTAAGGCCAGTGGCTGGCTGTTTTACTTTTCAGATCTTCAGGTTGAACCCCAATTTCTCTCTCTCTGAGTTTTTATTTTATTTTATTTTATTTATTTATTAAAGATTTCTGCCTCCTCCTCGCCACCGCCTCCCATTTCCCTCCCCCTCCCTCGTCAGCCCAAAGAGCAATCAGGGTTCCCTGCCCTGTGGGAAGTCCAAGGACCACCCACCTCCATCCAGGTCTAGTAAATTGAGCATCCAAACTGCCTAGGCTCCCCCAAAGCCAGTACGAGGGGATCAAAAACTTATTGCCATTGTTCTTGAGTTCTCAGTAGTCCTCATTGTTCGCTATGTTTAGCGAGTCCGGTTTTATCCCATGCTTTTTCTGAATTTTTATTAACCATGTTTCAATGTCCCACATGAGCTTTAACAATCATTCTCTTTCCATAAGACTATGTCATTAATTTTTATTGCTCCTCCCCAATTTCCTCAAGAACTAAAGTGAACATCAGCATGCTGGAAAGTTCCACTGTACTATATAATGAAGAACTCTAAGCAGCAACGGTGGCAGAGGTACTGCCCCAGTGAGTGTCCAAATAATTAACTACTTAGCAAGGAACTAAACCCACCTCCCTTTCCTCAGATGAGAAATGATTTAGGGTTATTGATATAACCTCTTTCAGTGCTAGTATTTTGTGATTCTAGGTTATGCCTATAATTCAACAATATCATGTTTTCAAATACAACGTCCCCACATCTAGAATCATCGCTCCTTCTTTCTCTCTATCTGCCATGGTATTAATGTCCAGTTGTTGTCGTCAAAGAAAAGTGGGGTAATTTAGGAAAGGTGGGGAGTTTATCTGGAAACTCGCCTTCTAGTCATTGTATAAGAGGCTAAAATCCACTAATAATTTTACTTATATTGTGTTTGCAAATCTCCTTTTAATGACAAGACTTTGAAAAATCCAAGTACCCTTTCCCCTTGAGAGTAATTTTGTGTATGTGCCTTTTTTTGTTGTTCAATAGACATAGATTCTAACCAGTACTAACAAGTTATTACTAAGGTCATAATAGGACAAAGAAGAAGAAAAAGGAAAAATAATGCCCGATCGATTTCATAGTCTTAGAAAGAAATTAACCTGAAGAACTATGGTCCAATTTGTAGAAAAACCTCTATGTTTTAAATCTGCTTGAAGAAATAATTGCTACCTTAAAACTGTAATATCCTGAAAGTTAAAATGGTGACAGAATCAGCAATATTTCCTGAGAAATGGGATACGGCAGATATGAATAAATCTGGGAAGAAACACATGTTGCTGATATTTTTAACTCTCAACTGTTAGTATTCGTCATTTATAGCAGACATGTTTTGTATCTAGTAAAGGAAGAATTGAAAAAAGCAAAGTTAAAACAGTATGTACTAGCTAACAATAAAACAGAATTTAGGTTACATTCGATAAATCATCTACTCGGTAGATAATCAATGGAACTTGACATACAAAGAAGACATTGATCCATTAAGAAGGGAAAAATGAAATGATCTCGCAGTAAAGATCAGTAACAAATTGTATCCTACAGGAAGGAACAGGTCACTGAAGATGGAAACAGATCGATAGATGTCACTGATCTCAGCAACACAGACGAGAATGTGCCATGTAGCCACCATCTGTGAGACAGTAATTAGCAAACACTTAAACTAAACCCATAGGGAATGGATAATAGAGCAGACAGTAAGTGGATAAAAGTCAACCTGCAGTTTCATGGAAATCAATTAGACTACGGAAGACTGAACGCCAAGAAAACCACTGCAGTGTGCAGAGCAACGCCCGTGCCATCAGTACCAAATGATGCCTGTGTTCTAGCAATGAAACCACACACAGCAAACGCACATTTTCCCATGTGAGTAAACAACGGATGTGTAAGAGGCCCTCCCTGGCTTACTGAAGTGAGGACAACATAATCAACCCCAAAGATCATTGTAAGGAAAAAGTGAGGCGAGAGGAGAGAGCCAAAGAGAGATGACATAAGAACGCCAAGCAGCACGGAGGGGCCGTCAGCCAAAGGATGCAGAAGATCACAGCTCCACCTTTCTCTACTACATGTGATGACCGCACCTCTGTGGTCTAAAGCCACTGCTTGTGATCTAGTCTGTTTATAGTCTGACTCATGGAGAGGGAGATGAATCACTGCCTTTGTACCCACAGGAGACCACATCAAGCTCCAGCAGACAGTTCAAATCTATTGGTCACATATATGGCCTGGTTAAATTGAACGGTTTACAAAACAAAACCAAAAGTCACAAGTTTATAAAGGGGAC